AGGATGCTAAATATACATGACGCAAAGGCTACTGGTGTGTGCCAATTAGCACACTCCAGCAGACTTGATTAATTGAGTCTGCTCCATGTGCTAATTAGCACTCATTGGAGCAGGCATCCAGTACATCTGTAGGTGCCCCATGACTCCAAGAAAGGGGTTTAAGTAGCTGGTAACACAAAGGACAATCAAGTTGAACTATACGATAGAGGTCCATTTTTCTTTATTTTACATATTTAATTTACAAAATAAGTATCATGCATCATCTTATCCACACTGTAAGATGTTCATAATTTGGCACATAAATTACACACTGAGAATCTGAGTAAAGTATACTAGATATTGTACCTGCATTTTCCTGTAATGCAACATCTTTTACGAGTTTTCAATGAAAAATTATTTTGCATATTCTTATCTCCTCAAGATGATTTTGTGAGGTCAAAATATTTATTGTCTCTCAGCAAGGTGCAGATTAAATTTCCTCAATTTAAAAGTATTGTAATTTTCCCCTGATTGCCAGTTCTTCATAAGTCTTTCTGGCTCACATATAACCAAAATTTTGCAGTTTTAACTGAGTTAACAATTCTGTTTATGGCATGTTACCTGAAATAGAATACATGCCATTATTCCAGAGCTGCTTTAACTCTGCAAGACTGCCAAGAGTAAAAAGTAATAAAAAATATTTTAACTAGTAAAGTTGCGTGTCTGAACCTGAATACACACAGAAGCAACTTTATTTAAAAAGAAGGGGCCATATTTGCAGCTAATTTTCAGCATGCAATGGCACTTAAAACACTGTATTCTGCTTTTCAGAGGCCTATATAACTCTGTGCTGTTGATGAGGTGTGGTGCTATTTGTCCTTTCTGTTGACAGCATGCAAGACGACAGTTTAGAATCTTCTACTTCAATATCTCAACTTCTGAGAGAGAGTTATTTAGCTGACACTAAACATCAAGGGAACAGTGAAAGAAGTAGATCAGAACCATCTCCACACACTTTCCATTATGGCAATACTTCTGGGAATTCAGATGAGGTAACTGGCCAAGATGACCTTCCAGATCTCTCTGCTTTTCTGAGCCAAGAAGAGTTAGATGAAAGTGTAAATCTGGCAAGACAAGCAATTGATCAGAATCCACCTGAAAGTAAGCAGGATGAACAACTGGCATATTATCCCTCTGATCAGCTGAAAAACTCTGTGAGAAAAGTTTCAAATAAACAAGTGGCCCAGTCTACAGCTTTGCCAACTTCAGACAATGCTCTTCACTCAAACTTCTGTCATGATCATGTCAGTGGTTCCAAGAGGAGCTCTCAGGATCTAAAGAAACAACAGCTTCCTTCTGAAGCCGAATCAAAGAAAGAATTCCTAAATAAGGCAGCAGATTTTATTGAAGAGCTTTCCTCACTTTTCAAAGCACATAATTCAGAAAGAATAAGACCTAGAACATGCAAAAACTACAGGAGCAAACTTGATTCTAAAAACAGGGATGCTCAAAAAGGTAGTTCTAGTTTCCCAACTCTATCAGAAAACAGAGAGAGACTTTCTATTCCAACACCTGAAGACTCTGATAACAACTCAGAACATGCACTTGAAAAAACAGGTGATCAACAAGAGGCAAACTCTGCAGCTATGAATCAACTGGCAAGCACAGAGTCAGCACCTACATCTTTCTATTCTGATGAGCCTATTGGACAACCACCACGCTTTACTCAGAAACTGAAGAGCAGGGAAGTTCCTGAAGGAACCAAAGTGCAATTGGACTGCATTGTGGTAGGAATTCCAGCACCTGAAGTCAGGTAAACATATTCGACTCTTGCCATTTTACATTATGATAATGGTAGGTATATGCTCTACCCTGCTAAAATATATTTTATAGTAATTTGTAGAAGCAATTCTTGGTTTTTGGTTATTAACATTGATTAGAAATAAATCCAACTGTCTTCCTTAAATTATCCAGAAAGTTATTACCATTTTAATTTCAGATATTTAAGGACAATTTTCCCTTTAAATTTTAGAGCACAGTTGTTAAAGAGGCAAGTCTTCTGCAATTAAATCACTGAGAAAGATTATTTCTTTTACAAAAACTGAGCAAACCTTCACAGTGATCAAGCTGAAAATACCTATGTTAATGATAATAAGTAAGAAATACAAAAACATTTAAACTGAAAATATACAGGATTGCATAAGCAAGAGACTTTTTAAAATTATGAAATACATATATAGATAGTTTCATAGCTCGTAGGGTCAGAAGGAACCTGAGCAGATCATCAAGTCCGA